ACCTCCGAGCCGTCCGAGCAGCCCCCTCCGGTGAGCACAGTGCCTCTTTCACTGCACTGCCCTCATCCTACTGTTGCACTCCTAGTCTACTGTGGTATTGGCTACCCCTGTCCTCGCTTTTGACGCTGAGGGTAGAGCCATTGACTTTGACGTTTGGGTAGATGACCTGCAGCTGTTTTTACAGTGCGATAGGGCGGACGTCTCTCAATCTTTGATCTCACCTCTGGCGCCTCTCTCCTGCCCCTGCTGCTGATGCCGACGCCACTGTTCGCTCCCCAGTGGGCCACGCGCGATGCTACTGCACGTCTTGCGGTACGCCGCCACCTCCCTACATCCGAGCGTGCGCACTTTAGTCAGTACAAGAGTGCTCAGACCTTGTACGACGCTGTAGTTGCGCGCTACTCCTCCCCTGCCACTGCTGCACTGAGCCGTCTCATGCTACCGTACCTCTTCCCCGACCTTGCTGCCTTTCCCACAGTCGCTGACCTCATTACGCACCTCCGCACTAGTGACACTCGCTACCGCGCTGCGCTTCCTGCTGACTTCTGCGCCAAGAACCCCCCCCCCCCATGTACATCACTCTCTACTACATAGTCACTCGCCTCCCTGACTCCCTTCGAGCAGTCAGGGACCACTTCCTCTCAGTCTGTCCCACCACTCTCACTGTTGACCTCCTCGAGAAGTCCTCCTAGCGGCCAAGAAGAGCATAGTCGCTGTAGGGGCCTCTCATGGTGACCCGCGCACCCCATCTTTGAGGGGTGTTCCCCTCCCCCCCTTCTGCCCTCTGTTGCCTCTGCTGCTGCGGCCAACCTCCTTGCTCTTGAGTCGGTCGGTGCGGCGTCTGCCCCTAGCGGAGACGCCGCCCTGGCAAGGGCAAGGGGAGCAGGGGCACTGGAGGAGCGAGCGGGGGCGTGGAGGTGGAGGTGGAGGCGGCGGGGGGAGTGGGGGTGGCGGTGGGAGTGGAGGTGGGGGTGGAGGTCGGTGCGGCAGTGGAGGAGGAGGCGGCGGCGGCGGCGGCGGTGGCGGTGGGAGCGGAGGTGGCGGAGGTGGCGGCAGTGGAGGCGGCGGTAGTAACGGAGGCGGCGGAGGCGGCGGGGGTGGCGGTGGAGCTGGTCGCGGGTCTACGCAGAGGAGTGGCTCCGGTGGTGGTCCGCGCCAGCAGCACCAGCGCGGTCGTGAGACCCTGTCCCCTCAGCAGCTCCGTGAGTGGTACACTGCACGCCAGCGGGGTGGGATTTTGGTCCGTGCACCTACGTCCTGCGCACCGGCGACCGTGCGGTGAGCAGTGTGGGGGTGCGCACCCCACCCAGCGCTGCTTTGGCCGCCTGACGAACGCGTGGCATCACCATTCCCAGAGGCCACAGAGATCCCTCGCTAGGGCGAGGTGTCTAGGACGGGTGTTGCCAATTAGTGATCTTGATTTTGATGCTATTCTTTCTGCATGTATGCTGTGTCTATTAGTGATGAGGGTGACTGTTACCGGTGTTCCCCCCGATCCGGGCATTGAGACTGCTGCTCTAGGTACTGGTGAGGCGGCTGCCCTAGGTGCTTGCGACACTGCTGCTCTAGGGTGCTAGTTGTGTCTGCGTCCTCAGGTACTAGTGAGTCTGACGCTCTCAGGTACTACGTCGGCTTCGGCCTCCCTCACCTTCACCCTTGACTCTGGGCTTCATGCTTCCTTCTTTCTGGACCGCACGCACCACACTCACCGCCGCTTAGTCGGCCGGTTGCGTGTCTCTGGCTGACCCCTCTGGGGGTCCTGTCCTGTCTCACTTCTCCACAGTCCTCCCGTGTCCTGCGGCTCCCTCTGGCACCCTGTCTGGTCTTTACCTCCCCTCGTTCTCTACGAACCTGGTGAGTGGTGCTGACCTACAGGATGGGGAGTCCACCAGTTCACTCCTGCGCGTCAGCGGGTGACGCACTGCACAGAGGCCAGCACAGGCCAACACCTGGCTATGTTTACTCGTCAGCCGGGGTCGAGCCTGTACACACTGACCACTGCGTCTCCTCCTGTTGCTGAGTCTGGTAGGGTAGCTGCGTCGGGTAAGGTGTTTGCTGCAGCGTCCAGGTCTGGTCCTGAGTCTGCCCCCTGTTCGTGTCGTCTCCTGTCTCACGAGACTCTCCTCTGGCACCACCGCCTTGGTCACCCCTTTCTGCTTCAGCTCAGAGGCATGGCCTCCCGTCTTCTTGTTTCTGGTCTACCCCGGTCCCTCCCTCCCCCTCCTCAGGGCCCTGGCCTACCTGTGTCCCCTGTGTCGAGGGGCGCCAGCGGGCTGCCCCTCACTCCTCCCAGTTTCCTCAGACAGAGGCCCCGTTGCAGACGCTTCGAATGGACGGTGTGGGGCCCAGCCCGCGTCCGTGGAAGGGTCACGAGCGCTACTTCCTGCTCGTTGTTGACGACTACTTCGCGTTACAACCGCAGTCTTCCCTTGCGCAGCAAGGGTGATGTCACTGAGGTGCTGCTCGACTGGATCCGCGCAGCTCGTCTCCAGCTCAGGCAGAGCTTTGGCTCGGACTTTCCTGTTCTGTATCTGCACTCGGACAGAGGCGGAGAGTTTTCCTCTGGCCTTTTGAGAGCCTACTGCCGCGCACGAGGCATCCGTCAAACCTTCACGCTTCCGGACTCTCCGCAGCAAAAATGGGATCGCTGAGCGCCGCATTGGCATGGTCATGGACGTCGCTCGTACGTCTACGATGCATGCGGCTGCTCCCCATTTTCTGTGGCCGATTGCGGTGAGGTACGCGGCGCAATCAGATCAACCTACACCCCAGGGTCTCCAGGCCGGAGACCTCCCCAGCCCTGCTGTGGACAGGAAAGTTGGCGATGCGTCGGCGTTCCGGGTCTGGGGATCATCGGGCGTTTGTCCCGCGACTTGTCTGCGGACAAGCTGTCCCCTCGTGCTGCTCCTTGCGTCTTCCTGGGGTTCCCCCCCGACGCGCCTGAGTGGCAATTCTACCATCCCACCTCGTCGCCGTGTTCTGTCCTCCCAGGGACGTCACGTTTGACGAGTCGGTCCCCTACTACCGCCTCTTCCCCTACCGCACTCCGTCCCTCCCCCTGCCGCCGCTCTTCCTTGTTCCAGATCCCCCTCCGGTAGACCCCCTCCCCCTCAAAAGTCTGTCCCTTCAGGTGTGTCCCACGTAGACGCAGTCGAGCTTGGCGAGGTCACTTGTGACTCTGGTGCTGCTGAGGGTGATGAGACTGGGGGTGCTGGGCCTGGGGATGCTGAGCCTGGGGGTGCTGAGCCTGGGGGTGCTGAGCCTTGGAGTGCGTTGCCTGGGGGTGCTACATCTGGTGGTACTGAGCCTGGGGGTGCTGAGCTGGAGGTGCTCCGCCTGGAGGTTCTCCAGGGGCTTCGTCTCTACAGGACCACTCTCTCCATAGAAGCTGCGCGAGTGGTTTGCCCGACGCTGAGTGGGAGGCGTGCTGCTGGTACTAGAGGTTCTTTCGGCTACTGAGGGGTGCTGGCTGTCGCGGGTCCCAGAGGGTGCTCGTACTGGGAGTACTGGAGCTGCTGGGTCTGCGGGTTCGACTGGAGCTGGTGCTGCTGAGGGTGTTGGCGCTGAGACTACTATTGGCGTCCTACTGCGGGTACTCCTGGTGCTGCTGGAGGTTTCTGGAGCTGCTGGAGGTGCAGCTGGAGCGGGTGCTCCTGCTGAGGGAACTGGTGCTGTCCCTGCTCTGTCTGGCGTCACCGGCCGCGGCCTCGACCGTACTTTGTTCCACTCCGAAGCAGGTTCTTGGTCTTTCGCCTTCTACTGGTCTCCTCCTTACGGTAGAGTGTCCACAGCCTTCCAGTCACAGTTACAATTGCAGCCTACCTCCCCTTTGCCTGCTCCTTCTCCCTACTCTGGTCCTACTGGAGGTGTTTGCTGAGCGTCCGTGAGCCTGCGTCTCGCCCTGGCGTCGCCTGTCCGTGCTGGACGCGCTAGTGGTCGTGGTTTGCGTCAGCGTTCTCCTTCTGTCCCTGGCACGCACAGGATGTCTCTGCGTCCGTCCACTGCTCCTCTGCGTGCCCCTATTGCCTTCTCCTCCTGAGTCCTCTCTTCCTGCTCTTGCCGACCCGGAGTCAGACTCTCTTCGTGCTGCCAGTCCTACTGTCACGCGTCTCTTGGCTACTGTCCTCACTGACCCTTCTTACGAGTCCACGGCTAGCGTCTTCCCTAGTTGCTGAGCTCGTCGAATTTGCTGCTCGCTGTCGCCTAGACTACACTGCTAGTCTTGTCGCTGAGTCCGAGTCCTGTCGGTCCTCCGTCTGTCGGGGGTGAGTGCGCCCTTGGCACGGACGTCCTCGAGGACAGATAGGAGGAGTTCCAGTGTCTGGCAGCTGCTTCACCTCATCTCGTGTCCGTACTGCTTACCCCTGAGGGAGACCCGGTTGCACTTGACATCCCGACTCCGCGCTCTTACGCGGAGGCGATAGAGGGTCCCTACTCCTCTCAGTGGCAGGCAGCTATGGACACAGAGATGGCTTCCAGGAAGTCCACAGGCACCTACGTTGACGAGGTTCCCCCCGCCTGGGGCGAACATCGTCAGTGGCATGTGGATCTTCAGGGTGAAGCGGCCGCCGGGTTCTCCGCCTGTCTTCAAGGCACGTTACGTGGCTCGTGGCTTCAGTCAGCGGCAGGGAGTTGACTACTTTCAGACCTTCTCTCCCACCCCGAAGATGACCACTCTTCGGGTACTGCTGCACGTTGCTGCTCACCGTGACTACGAGCTGCACTCTCTCGACTTCAGCACTGCTTTCTTGCAGGGCATCCTGCACGAGGAGATCTGACTGCGCCGCCCACCTAGCTTCACTGGGTCCTTTCCCTCGTGGTACCCAGTGGAGTCTCCGGCGTCCAGGTCTACGGTCTTCGCCAGGGCGCCACGTGAGTGGCACGACACACTGAGAACTACACTGGCGGCTCTTGGGTTTGCTCCTTCTACTGCGACGCGTCGCTGTTTCTGCGCACCGGCACCTCTCTGCCACCGTTCTACATCCTCGTGTACGTCGACGACTTGGTCTTTGCCACAGCTGACACTGCTGGACTCGCCTACGTGAAGTCCGAGCTGCAGAACAGACACACGTGCACTGACCTGGGTGAAACTGCGCAGCTACCTTGGCTTGCAGATCACCCGGGACAGAGCACGCCGCACCATTACCCTGACTCAGTCACACATGGTGCAGCAGGTCCTTCAAGCGCTTCGGCTTCACGTACTCCTCGCCTCAGGCCACTCCTCTGCCTACCCGCCACTCGCTCTCAGCTCTGTCCTTCGGATGAGTCCGTAGAGTCGAGTGGCCCGTATCCAGAGCTTGTTGGCTGCCTCATGTACTTGATGACCTGCACACGACCTGACCTTGCATACCCTCTTAGCATTCTCGCACGCTATGTTGCTCCTGGGAGACACCGACCAGAGCACATGGCTGCAGCGAAGAGGGTGTTGCGCTACTTTGTGCAGTACGTCGGGCATGGGGCTAGTGCTTGGAGGGCGCAGTCCAGTGGTCCTCACTAGGCACCGCGGACGCTTCTTGGGCTGACGACCAGGCTACGCAGCGGTCCTCACAGGGTTACACCTTCAGCCTTGGTTCCGGCTCTGTTTCGTGGCGGGCTACTCGCTCGTCTTCTGTTCTCGGCTCCAGTTGTGAGGCTGAGATCCTACGCAGGGGCCATGGCTGCACAGGAGCTTCGCTGGCTCACCTACCTGCTGACTGACCTCGGAGAGACGCCTCGTTCTCCTCCAGTGCTGTACGTAGACAACAAGGCCATGCTGGCCTTGTGTCGAGAGCAGCAACTGGAGCACAGAACAAAGCAAATTGCTCTCCGCTACTTCCTTGCTCGTGAGCTACAGCAGTGTGGACAGTTACGGCTTGCGTATGTGGCCTCTGAGGCCAACACTGCTGATGTTTTCACCAAGGTACTTTTGCCTTGTGATCATCAGCGCTTCTGCTGCACTCAGCTGGGTCCTTGTCCCTGTCTTGCCTCACTTGCTCACCTCTTGACCTTGGTTGTACTGTTACATATATATATACCTGCTCTTGCTTGTCTAGCCTTATATATATATGTACTCCTGCATGTGAATTGGCCTTGTGGCCTTGAACTTGTGCTCGGAATGTGTGGTGACGTTGTGATCCACCCTAAGCTTGCTTTGCTTTGCTTTGCTTGACTGGTCTTGTGACCCCTTGTTCTCCCCCACTTTGCCTATGAGGGTGTGTCAAACATTATAGCTTATGCTTTTGTGTAGGCTGTAGTGGGGTAGCCCATATGGGGTACAACCCAATTAGGGTTAGTACTTGTACCCAACTCTTTCATAGTTCTATCATTCTCGTTTCTTCTCACTAGCCTCATTATAAGACACCTATTTGAGTGTATGAGATAAGACATATATGTCTTATCGAAACTTCAATAAATTATAGCGAAAGTTGAAGTACCGCGTACTTTTTTACCCTTGCGAAGCGCGAATTCTTCACACGCCGACCCAGGACCTACCAAATTTGCCCCTGCAGGTGTTCTCCATAACATGGCGTCTCTGGCAGAGGTTGTCGAAGTGGCACATTCGCAACATCCACAACGCATTACGAGAAACTCTTTGTAAAGAAGTATGGAATATATTTCTAAGTAGTTTAAAAAGTTTCCATTTATAAGACTTACAAGACACCCTAAACCATCCCGTTTACAAGATAACACAAGCATTTTCGCCCGTGTACGAGTTAAGACATATATGTCTTATATTCGGGCGATGACGGTAGATGCAGCGTGACTAGCGGGAGTACGTTGAGAAGAGCTCCAGCAGCGAGAGGAAAGCGAGAGAGGAAAAGAAAAAAATACAAACCCTAAGGTAGTGTCGATTTGTTCGCAAGCGTAACGTTTTGAATCAATTGATTTTTCTTGTCCTTAACAGGCGGCTGTAGCTCAGCTGATTGACGCTGAGTCAGGATTCGAAAGCTCCCGGGTCCGATCTCCCCCATGTGCTTTTCAAAGCCTGAACTGAATAGTTTGACCTGAGTTTCGGTGTTACACTACTACACCTTGTTGTACAAAAATAATTACAACTTAGGTTTGCAAAACGCTTCGCAACCCTGCGATGACTACGTCGCGGCGGGGCTGACGCTATCAGACTATTTAGTCTGATTAGTCTGACGAATCAGACCATCCACTTTGTGAAAAATGTATTTCCAGAGTAGTCAAAATTTCATCACTGAGTGCCTCAGACTTATTGTTTTATGGCCCCTGATTCAATGTAATAGGACTCTGTGAGAATAAGCGAACAGGAATGAATGAACTAGCAGTGAAAATGAGTACAAGTAGGAAACCCTAGAATTGTGTACCCCCTATAGGCTAACCCACTGTAGCCTACACAAGCATAACATATATAATGTTTGACACACCCCCATAGGCAAAGTGGGGGAGAACAAGGGGTCACAAGACCAGTCAAGCAAAGCAAAGCAAGCTCAGGGTGGATCACAAAGTCACCACACAGTCCGAGCACAAGAGCAGGGCCAGAGGCCAGTTCACATGCAGGAGTACAGACATATATATAAAACTAGACAAGCAAGAGCAGGTATATATATATGTCACAGTACAAGTGAAGTCAAGAGGAGAGCAAGTGAGGCAAGACAAGGCACAAGACCCAGCTGGGTGCAAAAGCGCTGATGGTCACAAGGCGCGAGTGCCTTGGTGAACACATCAGCAGTGTTGGCCTCAGAGGCCACGTACGCAAGTCGCAACTGACCACGCTGCTGCAGCTCACGAGCAAGAAAGTAGCGGAGAGCAATGTGCTTCGTTCTGTGCTCCAAGCGCTGCTCTCGACACAAGGCCAGCATGGCCTTGTTGTCTACGTACAGCACTGGAGGAGAACGAGGCGGCTCTCCAAGGTCAGTCAGCAGGTAGGTGAGCCAGCGAAGCTCCTGTGCAGCCATGGCCCCGGCGTAGATCTCAGCCTCACAACTGGAGCCGAGAACCGAAGACGAGCGAGTAGACCGCCACGAGACAGAGCCGGAACCAAGGCTGAAGGTGTAACCCTGTGACGACCGCTGCGTAGCCTGGTCGTCAGCCCAAGAAGCATCCGCGTGGCCGGTAAGGACCACTGGACTCCGCCCTCCAAGCACTAGCCCCATGCCCGACGTACTGCACAGGTAGCGCAATACCCTCTTCGCTGCAGCC